GACATTGACATTTTGAGATCCATTATTCTGCCTACCACACCTTTACATAGGGCAAAGAGCAAAACCACAAAACCACATATTCTTTCTTATTGTGACTTGGTTATTCAGCCAAATAACAAAGAATCTCTTGAGTCGTACTATGTGCCAGATCTCTGTGGTGAGAGCTGAGGTTACAGTATGGGTCAGAGATTGGGAGTTTGGTAATTTTTCCTTCTCTTTCCAACAAAGTTCTCACCCTGGCTTATTTTAGCTAAGGAATAAATGAGAAGCAATCTGATTAAGCTGTCCTCATTACATTAAATGACTGGCCTATAGTAACCCTCTAGAAGAGACATTTATATTCTCTGTAAAGGAGCACCCTAATCCAGGGCTTCTTAAACTTTCATGGGCCTACAAATCACGTGGGAATCTTGTCACATGCAATTTCGATCCAGTAGGCCTGGCATGGGGCCTGAGCCTCTGCTTTTCAGACAAGCTCCCAGGTGATACTGCAGGTGGAGGAACAGTCCTTACCTCGAATAAAGCTCTACTCTTAAGTGATATTCAGTCTGACCCTGCCACCAATGCATCCTGATGAAGGCTTGCCTCCTAAGAGGTAATGGTAATCAATAAGTCAACCACAGCACCACACTTTGTCACTATGACCGAACACCTGTAGCAGAGGGGACACTCTGCCTTCTGGTAATAGTTTCCCACAAGGATGGTTTCTGACCAAGACTCACATTCATCCCAATGGGGGAGGGGGGGCACATGTTACAATCCTTAATATAATAATGAGTCGCCAGGACTCCTGGGCCAACATCCAAGGCTTACACTCCCCACCCCCAGGCAGTGACTGAGTGACCCAGTACCCAGATTCATACCTATTGAAAATTTGTAAGGTTTGAATTCGTTGAGGATTCTCCTACCAGACAAGCTAAAAAAAGGCTGATAAGATTCCACCTTATCTCTCTAATGGGGATTCAGTTTTATATACTAGCTCCTTTTGGGGAGTGAAGGGGTGACATGGGCAGGAGGGCAGAGTAGAAGCAACAGAATTTCTACAGGTAACTTAGAGAATCTTACAGGGCTGGTGAAACCTTAGTAAAATGCATGGACCAATGGGAGGACACATCATGGCCTGAAGTGAATTGATCATGTAATTGTAAAGTAAAAGGAGGTAAGTTTCTATATATACCATATGACTGTCCTTGATTAATGAGTTTAGGCAAAATTCCTTCATAGTACACCTCTGATCATTAATGTATTTGAGTGTACTCTGACTTACGACTTCCCCAGTCCTTGTTTCAGTCTCAGAAAGAGATCATTTGGGGAAATGAAGCAGAACCATACCTATGGTTTCCTACCTTCTATTTGCAAGATAACTAGGTATATCTCATCCTTCTGGCAGAGTGATTTTATACTGTTTCCCTCAATGCCTCTTTGAGGACCCTCCATTTCATGTTATCTATAGGCCTCCTTCCTACCTTATCTTGGTTGGATAGTTCCTAAAAACTCTCCGGTATGGGCTAACACTGCTGGAGCTCCCTGATGCAAACAGCACAGATCCAAACTTGGCACCTGTGTGATAGAAAGCTGGTAAAAGGCATGACTCTGCAATACTGAAAGGGAGCATACTCTGGCTAGAACAGGACTTAAGGCAATCCCATTTATCTAGCATCTAAGCTGGACGTTCTCTAGGAGAGCTGTTCCCTATTGTAGAACAGATTAAATTAGGGGTTACTATTCTCTCTCACCCTAAGCATTCATCCAAGTATTAAGGTGTCAAATTTTACACCTAGCAGCAGCTTTTTAGACCCAGTCTACATATATCACTGTATGGAAAAAGAAAAGGAAGTCTAGATAAGGGAAGAAAATCATTCAATCTCAAATGGACAGTTCATAACAGAGTCTATATTCAAACCCAGCCCACAGAGGTCAGGTAAATAGTTTGAGGTCATATGTCTAGTTGATAGCAATGCTGGGACTAGAATTATCTCCAATTTCAAGACTTTTTTCCACTACAGCCTCCCTCAACCATAGCTACCCTTAGTAGATTTCCCCACCCTGATTATGGATTCACTCATGCCTTTGCAGATATCTAGCTTCAGTGCTGGGGAAGAGGGTGAATGGAGCTACCTGGGAATGCTACTGACCAGGCCTGGTCTCCTTTGCTACAGTCCTATTTGCCTTGCCACCTAATTCCAGTTTCATGGCTTAAGCCTTTTAGTATTTCTCCTACCGAATCCCTCTCCCATGCATGATTACTATCTTGCTATTTCAGGTTTCTGTCTGGCTGGGTAAAATCTTCACTCTTTGTCCTGACACTGAGTTTTTCCTCTTTGATGTCATCTCATCTGCCTGGGGGCTGGCTTACCTTCCTACCCGTCCATTGGCATCTCACTCAGTTCCTCCCACAGCTCCGTTTTTCACCACCGTCATACTTCCCACTTCCTCTCTCCTTCCCCTTTTCTTGGAACCATGGCTCCTGAATTTCTTGCCCCCACCCAAACTGGATGGCTTTTCTCCCTCCGCTTAAGGTGGGGGGACGAGCCGTGAAAGCCCCAAATGCCATCTTTCTTCTTATTTCCTATTTCCAGCACATATCCTATTTATAACTCTGCCTCCCTCTTAGCAGATTGACACAGCACTCTGCTTGGTTCCCAGAATAAATGCAATTCAAGAATAAGAGACAAGTCCAGGCTCCCAGGATTCTTCTGCAGTCAGGCACTGGTTAGGAGTTTTTCTGCCAGCATTTGAGAAATGTCTCTGAGGGCAGCTATGCTTCTCTGAGTCCATCTTCCGCTGTCCTGGAAATTCCTTCCATATAGGATTTTCTTCCTGGCAGATTTCCCTTCCTGATTATGTCTAGACCAAGCTTCTATTAAAGGTGGGTGTTATTCCCCTAACATACATTGATTATGCCATAAAAGACCCTTAAGAAATATTCGTTAGGTGAATGAATGTTGGCATACTAAGAACAGGTCATAACTGAGTTTGTGGGAAGCCAATAGAGAATTATAGCTGATCCACAAAGTCAACAATACATATAAAAATTCACATTTTTAAAACAAAAACCAATTTCTTATTACACCCAATGCCTCTGGTGTCCCCATCACCAAATCGTTATAAAACCTGAAGGAAGGAGCAACATTTACATTTACATTCCACTATTAGGAATTGTGCTTTGCTTAGATTATTTCACTTATTCTACAACCTCTGAAATAGGATTTTCATCCCCATGCGTAGGTAACAAAACTGAGACTCAGGTAGGTGAGCACGCTTGCCCTAGAAAGAGTAAGTGGATTCTACCCAAGTCTATCTGCCTTCAAAGCTCACTTTAAGAACCTAAAGGGGATGCTCTGAACACAGCACGTGAGGCAGCACAGGCTGATGATCTCTGGTTCAGTCTGTGTCTCCCTGCTTAGTTCTTTCCTGCTTGACACATAGTAGGTGCTCAAACCAAAAATTTTAATTAAATTATCGGATACACCATTTCAACTTAGTTTCTTAACATGGTATTCTAATATTCTGGGCTTGATGGAGACACTTCAGAGGAAATCCACCATCAAGCTTTAGAAGGTTGTCAGATGGGGATACACGGGCCCATGCTGCCTGTCTTCATCAAGGAAAACAGATATGGGATGAAAGCTCAGCAGGTAGGGTTTAGGTTAGAACTAAGGGAAACCTTATAAGACATCGGACCAGGCCACTGAGGAAGACAAAATATTTTGTCTGCAGATGCCATCTCTCCGGGATGAGTCGGATTCCTACCTGCTGGCAAGGCTTTGCTTCTGAGGGTCTGCAGAGGCACCAGGAGCTGCATCTCCTGCATTTGCTGCTGCAGAAACTGTCCTCATTCAGTGGCATCCTCTTCATAGTAATGTGGAGTTGTTACTTCCTTTGATTGCTCTCTGATGCGTAGCTTTAATTGTATCCTTGCTTTTATGTAGAGAATAGAATCATGTTCCCCAGAGGATAGCTAGGAAAACCGATTGCCAGCCTTGGAATACAAATAGGAGCCTGCCGAAAATGCTGCTTCATGGGTGGGCACAGGGAAAGGGAGATGAGGGAGGACAGCTACCTCCAAAGGTCGCGGGTTTATGCATGGAGGCTTTGCCGCCCCTAGTGAGCTCTTCTAGGGGGAGAAACAGCACCCAGGTTATTCGTAGGCAGCTGCCTGGAAATTGCATAGGAAATTTCCCATGCACAGGAAATTGCCTGTGAGGGAGGGTTTGTGTGGTGCTGAAAAGCTACCATCCCCCCAGAAAGCTGTCCCTCACCCATATATGAGCTTCTGTAGGCTAGTACCACTGTGGACATAATTATCTACTGACTGCCTCAATTTTTTATGCATGGTTCTCTATCACTGAGGTCATATTGTATGTAAGTTTTGTAATCTACCTCCTTTAGTTAACACTGTGATTTATAAGCCTTGGGGGGGTGGAGGGTGCAGTAAAATCTAGGCATTTTACAGTGGAGGGTGACATCAGGCAGAATTGGCAGCAGTGACCAGCACTGCTGGGTTGGCTCCTGGGAACTTGAGTAGTCCTGTCCCACTGGGGTTTGGTTCACCCATTTATACAACTTCTTGGGGCAGTGGGCAGTGGTTGGTTCTAGGAGGTAGGATTAAAAGAGTTTTTTTTTTTTTAAACTTCTCTCAATTTCTTTTATTTTCCGAATTTCATAATAAACCAGTATGACTTTTATAGTCAGAAAAAATTATTTTAAGTGTTTCCTCTTTCTGCTGCCAAGAAAGCAGTAAGGCATTAGAATCTGAATCAGCTGCAGTGAAGAAGACACCCAGGCTCATCTTATCATGCCTTAGGCTCCCCATCTGTGAAATGGAACAGCCACTCTGGACCCTCCCACAGTAGAGACTATAACACCATCTGTAACCTATATAGAAGGTGACATCACCCTTAGACAAGCCGAAGAGAGAAGCAGCCCGTTTCTGGGAGGTGGCCGAGCTTCATGATCCACTGCCCCGCACTGCTCCAAAGACTCCACGCCTGTCAAAAGAAGATCATTCATTCACCTTATTTGTGGTCAAAAGCTCCCAATTTAGGCACTGTTGAGAACAGATTGGAATCCAGGTATCTTTAGATCTTGAAAAAAGGGAGTCAAGCTACCTTCCTTTCCCATTGTCCATTTACAGGGCTAACATTCATTAGGTGTAAGAGACATGGTACCTAGGGACCACAATACTTTTAGAGGTCCACAAAAGTGTTTTAATAGATAAGGTATTTGTCATTCCATCAACACAGTTGTAAAACATAAGCTTTCATATTTTTTGCCCATGAAGGCAAGACTGCCTGAGGCCCATGAAAATCATAATGTAGCCCTGTGCAGCCCATATCAGCCTTATATTTCCCAAGCCTTTCCATGAAATCAAGGTGGATTGTGGACCAGAATGCCTACCACTCCTCTCTATTCATCTTCTTCATCTTTTTGGTACAAAAAAAAAAAAAAAAAGAAGAAGAAGAACTTGGATGTGGATTTTTGGCATGAAAATAACTAACCATTAGGTCAGACTGAGACCCCACAGCAGAATTAGGCAGATGAAGACATATTTAGCAGACAGCAGAAGAAATAGCTTTTTTAATTGCCCACACAAACAACCATTACAACACAGGAAGGATAAGAAGCAATAACTCTAAGAAATGACCTGGCATTTCCCCCTCTTCTTGAGAATGATTACCCCTCATTCCTTAGGATAAGGTGTCTGTGAAATGCGAATATCCTCTTTAATAACTCTGGTCCTTCTTTTCAAATTAGAGCTATAAATAAATAAGTACAATTTGCAAACCATTTGATTACATCCCTGTACTTTCCCAAGATTCCCTGAGAAGGCACTTACACCAATTTGTGCATCATTAAATATTTAAATAAAAACTCGAGGTGAATTATGGGACAAAATGGCATTTATGAAGCACAGGTTTGGGCACAACGCAGCACCAAGTCTTAGACTCCGGCAGCAAGTAGAACATTGGGTCCCTGCAGACCAGCAATAGAACAGCTGAGTTCTGAAGGGAGAGAATCTTGGTTTCAAGGGAGGAAGCCAGTACAGAAACCCCCAGTTTTACTCCGAGTCCCTTATTCAGCAGCCACAAATACACAGAATGCCACCAGGAACCAGGAAGTGAGCACACAATGCAGCCGGGCAGCCAATCTCACGTCTCAAAGCCCAGGCCTCCGTTGGTTTAAAAACGTTGTGCAAAAGTTGATTCAAATCACCCCAAATACCTATGGTATGAAAGAAAGGAATTTAAATTAAGAACACTTTGTCTATGAAATCAGGTGATCTTTCAATACATTTTATCATGATTTTCCTTGGCAAATGTTCATCAAGCACGGCTCTATGCCAAGAGGGTGTGCATGATAAGTTAAAATAGCCTCCACCCACAGGAATTTGCGATGTGTTTGGGAAACGCGGGAAATTCTAGATGTAAATGGATCACAGCAGTATTGGGCGTACACCCTGGGTGGCATGGGAGCAGTCCCTACTGTAAGTTCTGTGTGGGCACCGGGGGAAAGGCAAATCCTCAAGTGACTGCCAAAGGACTGAGGATCGAGCAGGAAGCAGATGGCACACTCAAAGGATTTAACTAGAGAGACTTTAACTAAGGAAATACTGACTCAGGTGTGGGCAGACATAAGCCAGCTCATCACAGTGGTGAACGCAGGGACTAGCAACAGTGGGAAGTCATTGCCACCATTGGCCTGAAGGGTCCCTGGTGCAATGGAAGAGGGGATGCTCTACACGAACTGAGGCCATTGAGGGACAGGAAGCTCAGGCTGAGGCTGGGACGTAAAGACCCAACCTGTGGTCACCTGTTGATACCTCCCACAGGCCAAATCTACCCAGGAACTAGAGGGCAAGGGAGCTAGGAGACACAGTCCTGGGGCACAGATTAGAGCAGAGAGCGGACCCAGAGGGACAAATGGACTAACCCAGCCTACAGGCTGGGCACCATGCTTCAAGCTTTAAGAGAAAGCGTCAGTTCTTGGCATAGAAATGAAGGGGAGGGCATCTGAGGCAGAGGAAGACAGGCATATATATAGGTAATGGGAAATACTTTTTTTCTGCCAGGAAGTAATGTATACAAAGTGCATTTTCTTAAGAAGAGTTAGGCTATAACAGTCAGGAAACTTGGAGGAAGAGACACAAAGCAGGGTTTCTCAATCTCAGCACTATTGACATTTTGGGCTGGATGAGTCTTTGTTTGGGGACCGCTGTGAGCACTGTAGGATGTTTAGCAGCATCTCTGGCCTCTACCCACTAGATGCTGGCACCCACTCGCAGGTGTGGTAACCGAAGCTATCTTCAGACATTGACAAATTCTTCTGGGAGGCACAAAATTGCCCCCAGTTGAGACACTGGGAGAGGAAAGGAAAGAGACCCCAGAAGGGAGACAGCTGTTGAAGCACAATGCGGACAGGAGACGCTAAGGGCTTAGACTCAGTGTGGCTCAGTGACACTGACAAGGAAAGGACCAATGCCGCAGACGCTGTGTAGGGGGAGCAGGCAGGCTGCATGAGGAGGGGCAGAGGGGGTGGTGGCGGGTGACTTCCGTTTGTAGGCTGGCTAACGAGGAGGATGATGCCTCTACAGCAGAGCGAGGAATGTGTGAGGCTGGCCTTGGGGAAGGATGATGTCTTCTGGGAACTTGTTTGAAGGAAGCCCGGGGCGTTTAGACAAGGGACTGAGTTGAGGAGGGAGGCTGGGACTAGAGGTGCGAATTTGAGTCATCTACAGAGAGACAGCCTTCTCTCCTCCTGTGGATAGAAGTTCTCCGGGTGGAAGGTAGAGAAGCCAACCACCGAAGTTTTCTTTCTTTTTTTTTGGCGGGGCACAGGGTGATGTGCATATTTAGAATAATGTGAGATGGAAATAGCAGGCGCCAGAGGCAGGAAAATTAGGCAGTTTTCTGTGGCAGAAGGCAGTGCAGCCCAGTGCCGGTCCCTCTCACCAGCGCATCCACCCCAGGGCTATGTCTACCACAAGAGATCACCCAGCACTAATGTGGGAACAGTCCTGAGGAGAATCAAAACTGCCACAGAAGGCACAAGTCTCAAGACAAAACAGGAGCCTTGTCTAGCCCCCCGCCCCACACACATAGTTAACAGTCCTCTATCTTCTTAAATCACTCAAATCCTGAAAGAAGTAGACTTTGATTAGGTGGACAGTTTCACTTACGTGGAATAAACAGTTTGTTCTTCATTAAGTGAGCAGTTATAGGAAGTGTTGTTCCCCTAGAGTCCTGAAGGAAAGGTTACACACAGAGGTAGCAGGAAGACCTGAGGATCCAGATCAACAAAGGGTAGCCATGCTTATCTGTCTCTGTCGTTCTCTCTGAAGATGGTGTACCTTCTTGTTTTTTCCCTCTCCCAAAGATGCATTTTGTGGTAGGCAGAATTCTAAGATGGCCCCTAAGATTCCAGCCCCCTGGTGTACATGCCTTGTATAATCCAATCCCTTTGAGTGTGGGTGGGACCTGTGGATGTGATGGGATTATCATTCCCATGATTAAGATTATGTGGCAAAAGTAAATTTTCAGATGTAATTAAGGTCCCTAATTAGTTGACTTTGGTTTCTCAAAAAGGATATTGTCCTGGGCGAGCCTGACCTGATCCGCTGAGCCTTTAAAACAGATGGAAAGAAAGCAAACCGCCATGTTGTGAACTGCCATGAAAGACCGCATTGCTGGGACCAGAGGGAGGCTTGTAGGAGCTGAAAGTGATTCCTGGCCAACAGCAAAAAAGAAAACAGGACTTCAGTCCTATAACAACACGAAACAGAATTCTGCCTACAGGGCGCCTGGGTGGCTCAGATGGTTAAGCGTCTGCCTTCGGCTCAGGTCATGATCCCGGCGTCCTGGGATCGAGTCCCACATCGGGCTCCCTGTTCCTTGGGAGCCTGCTTCTCCCTCTGCCTCTCTCTCTCTGTCTCTCATGAATAAATAAATAAAATCTTAAAAAAAAAAAAAAAAAAGAATTCTGCCTACAATCAGTGAGCATGAAAAAGGACCCCCCGAGCCTCATACAAGCTCATAGCCCCAGCCAACGCTTGTATTTTAGCCTGGTGAGAATTTTAGCAGAGGGTCCTGCCCTGGGGACACTGAGACCATAAATTTGTGTTGTTTTTAGCTACTACATTTGTCGTAATTTGTTATGTAGCAAAAGAAAATGAATGCATGTATGACGAGAGACTATGTCCACAGGGTGGATTGGCTCCATGAGGAGACTGACAACCACACCACACAGCTGAGCCCCACAAGTATGCGCGGCCTGGGCAGGCCGACTGTGGTGTGACCCTTGCTGTTCCCCAGACCAAGCTTCCCCATGATCCTAGCAGGCCGTAACTCATTTCCTCCTGTGAAATGGCCAACTTAAGATCTGAAAAAGTGGGCGCCTGGGTGGCTCAGTTGGTTAAGCGACTGCCTTCAGCTCAGGTCATGATCCCAGGGTCCTGGGATCGAGTCCCGCATCGGGCTCCCTTCTCTGCGGGGAGCCTGCTTCTCCCTCTCCCACTCCCCCTGCTTGTGTTCCCTCTCTCACTGTGTCTCTCTCTGTCAAATAAATAAATAAAATCTTCAAAAAAAAAAAAAAAGATCTGAAAAAGTGAACCACAATATAAGCCACACAGGATAGGTAGAACTTACCTTCTGAGCTGAGATAGCTGTGGCCCCAAGGCTGGTAAGGATTCCTACCCATGGCACCAGGTGTGTCCCTTTCTTGGCCAAATATAACTTTAGCCCCTCAGAGACTGAGCTAGCAAAGCTGAATGGACACTGATGTATCACTTCTCAGGAGGGCCTCCTAGAAGCAGGAAGGAGAAGGAAGAAAGGTGGAAAGAGAAGAAGAAAAGAATTTTATTCAGCAAACAAATATTTATAGTGCTCATCACATGTGTAGCCTTATTCTAGGCCCCAGCAGCATACAGTGAATAAAACAAAAACCCATGCACTCCAGTGAGAGAATATAGACCAATTAATAAAACAAAATTTTAAAAATATAGTACGGAGTGATAATAAAGCAGAGGAGGAGTTGGAAGGGGAAGGGTTTGGAAAGGAATATCAGGAGTATAGTCTGGAGGGGTTCCTGGGTGGCTCAGTTGGTTAAACATCTGCCTTTGGCTCGGGTCATGATCTCTGGGTCTCGGGATCGAGCCCCACATCCAGCTCCCTGCTCAGTGGGGAGTCTGCTTCACCTCACCCTCTGTGCTCGCTCTCTCCCTCAAATAAATAAATAAAATCTTTTTTTAAAAAGGGTATAGTTTGGCATAGACTAGAATAAAAGCAACTTATGGGTACATTAGAAGTCTTTATTTCTACTTAATTGGTTCTCTCTTTTGCCCTGAATTTAAGCCGTTAACCCAGTACAGACCAGCTCAGTTGGCTCACACCCAGATTGAAATTAATACTGGATAGAAGGGAAACAATTATCCCATTAAAAGCAATTACAACAATCCCCTCTCCTCTAGCCACTGCCTTTCTCAGACAGCTGCTGTTTTGACTACATGATTATTGCATTTAATATTCAAGTTTCATAGTAATTTCAGGAAGTAATTTCCATTAATAAAATGAAAATATATACAAAAAAAAAAGGGTATAGTTTGGGACATGTTAAGTTTGAGAAGCCTATTGGACACTCAGTGTGCTATCTAGTGTGGAGCGTGGGGAAGAACTGGGGCTGGAGATATCAATTTAGTATCTAGGGCGCCTGGGTGGCTCAGATGGTTAAGCGTCTGCCTTCGGCTCAGGTCATGATCTCAGGGTCCTGGGATCGAGTCCCGCATCGGGGTCCCTGCTAGGCGGGGAGCCTGCTTCTCCCTCTGCCTTTCTCTCTCGCTCTGTCTCTCATGAATAAAAAAAAAAAAAAAAATTTAGTATCTAAAACATAAGACCAGATGAGATAAAAAAGGAGTACATGTGGATAAAGAAGAAGTCCAAGGGTAAATCCTGGGGCCCTCTGACATTAAGGTATCACAGAGAGAAGAAAGAACCAGAGTCAGAGTTCAGGCTTCTGTAACAAAATACCACAGATTAGGGGGCTTAAACAACAGACATTAATTTCTCACAGTTCTAGAGGCTGGAAGTTCAAGATCAAAGTGCTGGCAGAGTGGTTCCTGGAAGGGCCCTTATCAAGGTTCGCGGAGAGCCACCTTCTTGCTGTATCCTCACATGTCAGAGAAAGCAAGCTCATCTCCCTCTCTTCTTAAAAGGACACTAAACCCATCATAGGGACCCACTCTCATGACCTCATCTAAGCTTAATTACCTCCCAAAAGTCCTACTGCCAGATCCCAACACATTAGGATTTAGGGCTTCAACATATGCAATTGGGAGAGGGGGCACAAACATTGAGTCCTCAGCAACTAGCAAAAGAGATGAGAAGGAAGAGGCAGTGAGGAAGGAGGAAAACCAAGAGAGTGTGATGTCCTGCAAAGAGTTTCAAGGATCAGAGACTGATCATCAGGGTCAAATGTTGTTGACAGGTTGAGTTGAGGCTAAGAGATAACCTTCAATTTAACATCATGTCATTTTGGGATCTTGACAAGAATAGTCTCAGTGGAGTGATGAATCAGGTAGATTCAAGAGAGACTGGAAAGAGAAATTAGAAGCAGCAAGTACAGACAACTCTTTTTTTTTTTTTTTAAGATTTTATTTATTTATTTGACAGAGAGAGAGAGACAGTGAGAGAGGGAACACAAGCAGGGGGAGTGAGAGAGGGAGAAGCAGGCTTCCCGCAGAGCAGGGAGCCCGATGCGGGGCTTGATCCCGGCATTCCAGGATCACGACCTGAGCTGAAGGCAGATGCTTAACTGACTGAGCCACCCAGGTGCCCCTACAGACAACTCTTTTAATGAGCTCTGCAGTAAAGGGGAGTAGAGCAGCGGGGCAAAGCTGCAGGGGAATATGGATGGGAGAAATTAGAGCGTATCTGGACTTTGATGGGAATGAAGGGAAAATGTACAGTCAATTTTCAATTGCACAAGAAAATATAAATAGTGTGACCCATTTGATGAGTTTACTTAAATTTTACGTAATAGCTGAAACATATAAGAAAGAACATATAAATTCAGAAGCACAATGAATACCCAAAAAACCACCAACCACACCAAGAGCTGGACCACCACCAATCATTTCTATTTATGTGCTCCTCTCTCTCCCACCCTCTGCCTCTCAGAAGAAAGCAACTTCCCTGAATTCTGTGGTTATCATTTCCTGTAAAGTCATATTCTCTTCATTATATTCTGTTGTATTTATTACTGATAGATCAAGGAAGACCTTACCTCTGTCCTTCAGCCTACCTTCTGCAGACGGACATCAGACCACTTTGGTCAGTATCCCAAAATTCCTCTCTTACATTTAACCTGCCACACTAAAAGTCCATTTTTCATCTTCCATCTCCAGCTGGCCACTGCTTTACCAGAAACACCCCTTCTTTGACATCAAGATCATTATTATTCATTCCTCTCTGTATAACGTCCTCCACATGAAAGCAGGAATAGACAAGCACACCTTCTTTCCTCCTAAGCACACGGAACAGACCCCATTGGGGTCTTTTTCTCCTGGAAGACACACCTGCAACACTCAAACCTGGAAGATGCACCTGTAGCACTCAAACTCCAGCCTCCCCCTCTAGTCCTAAGGCAGGTGCCAATGTCTGGTGGCCCCTCCACAGGGGGCTCAGGAAGGCAGGTGACGGCCAGTGGTTAGGTTCCTTTTATCCCCAAATCACCTATGGGCAAGTGGCCACCCCCAGATCATCCAGGACTGTCCAGGAATACAACAAGGACCTGCAAAACTTTGACAAATGCCAACAGACTGAGCCCTTTACAAATGGATGACAGCAGGTTCTGAAAAGCCTTCTGCATACATAAACCAAACACCCAGCCCCCGTGCTTACTCACTGATGCTTGAAATTGCTTTAAGGAGAGAACGGCTTTCATCTCACAACTAGAGAAATCTTTGAAGCCCTGGCCGAACTAACTCAGTGATTTAGACTAGCAACACGCTAGTGTGTAAAAGGCCCTTGATGATGCAAGGGCCACTTTTAAAAATGAGTGTTAAGTAAAAAAAAAAAAAAAAAGAGTGTTAAGTGACAAGAGGTGTAGCAGAGAAAGATGGGGCTTTTCTTGTCTGCTTGGTGAATATCTTCCTTCTTTCCCTGTTGCCTCAGGCATCTCGAGCTCTGTGCATAGCCACACTCTGTCCCCCTGTCTTAGCATTATAGAGATTAAGGGTGAGGAATCTGGAACCACGCAACATAGGTTCAAATCCTAACTCTATCACTTGCTGTGATCTTGGGCAAGTTACTTGACCGCTCTGTGCCGTCTTCTCACCTGTAAAAACGGAGATGATAACAGTACTTGCCTCATGGGGAGATTGTAAAGATTAATATGTGTCATGCACTTAGGGATCATTCTGGCGCACACACACAAAAGCACTGCAAGTGCTTGCTACTATTGCTCGCAAAGGCTCCTCCTCACCTGCCCACTTTCCACAAGCCAAAAGATCATTTTAAGCTCCTCCACTTCTGCTCTCTAATATACAAAGCCCACTGTAAATTGCCACTTTGCCAAAGCCCATTGAAATCCCCCAGGTTTCCTAACGCCCCCAGCGCTAACCTTAAACAGCCAGGCCATCCGGTCCTCCCACCACCAGCAAAGCCCCCGCAGCTCTCCACTCGCCCAACCCCGCGGATCCGAACTTCCGCAACCCAGACTCGGCGGAAGGCCTCGAGGGCTGGGGTGGGACGGGGCGCGACGGGGCGGGGCGCGACGGGGCGGGGCGGGGCGCGACGGGGCGGGGCGCGGCGGGGCGGCGGCTCTGTGACGTCACGCCCGGGCCCCGCCGCCGCGGTTGCCAGGCGACGGCCAAGCGCTAACAAAGCCTGGTTGGTCCCGCCCCACCTCCCCAGTCCCTCGAGGCCGAAGCCGGTACCGTCTTTCCCCGCCCAGGTGCTGCGGCTTTCTCCTCCGCCAAGGGTGCGTGGGACTGGATCTGTCCCCACGCCTCCCGCCTGAGGCCAGACGCGAGGTGTCGCCTCGGATCCGACAGCCCGTTTGGGAGCGAGCCTCAGGTAGCAACCCTAGAGGGGAAGTGGATGGAGGGAGGTGCCCTGAGCGCCTCTAGGGCTGCGCGGGGCTGAGGGGAAGAGTCCTGCCCACGGGCCCATCTGGACTCTGAATCCTTCCTTGTTCACAGAGCAAGAGGAGAGGGCTGTGATCTTTAAGAGAATGTGATCATGGGTGATTATTGCTCTCTGCCCAAACTGTATGTATGGTTTGTTCCCAGAGCTACTATTTTATGATTTCTTACACAGAGGACAGTGATTTGAAACCGTAACAGAATCTGGGATCAGAGCCCTCTCCAGACTAGCCAAATCACTTTTTTCCCCCCATATCTATGGGGGGATTGTCATGAAGATTAATGGGTGTGAGTAACACTTTAAAACTGCTATCAATCTTTCATTTTCTTAATATCTATTGATCACTGACTGTGTTCCAGGCTAGGCCTTACGGATTCCATAGTGAGCAGAAACTGACTGTCCCTACCCTCATGTTTAGTCTATTGGGGGTGGCAGATGTTAATCGAAGAACTACACAAATACTGTGAAATTAGAGCAGAGCTACATGCTGCCAAGGAGAGGTACGTAAGTGGTGCTCTGGCAAAGTGTAATGGAACTGACAGGTCAGGGAAAGCTGAGCTGAGATCTAAGAACATGTGAAAAAGTGGGGGGTTCATTCCAAGCAAGAGTAACCATGGGTCTAAAACCCACCATCTCCTATTCCAAGCCCAAACAAGTATATTCAATTCCCTGGTCCTTGGTTCCCAGAGCTGTTCATAGAAACTGCCTCTGAGATTCTGGTGTTGGAGCCTTTAATTCATGTAACTGCAGCCTTTCGTTATTATAACTGAAGCTCTGTCTAGCCTACAGCAATAAAACCAAAAAAGCAATTCCAGAAACGAATCTATATCACGTACTTGATAAGACCTATATTCTTCAGCATCCAACACATATGCGTTGACCTGCCATTCCACATTGGGAGGCATGTAGGCTTCACAAAAAAAAAAAAGGAAATCTATTGAATTTTAAAGAGTTGTGGGGGCCTGGAACAAATAAATGGGGAAGGCCTACCCTACTGAGAGCTTTAAGAGTAGAAAAGCACTTTATAAAACATTAGAATCATGGACTATTAAGATAAAATGGACCTCTCTTCACTTCTTTTATCTGATGTGAACAAATGATCTATATTGCTCAAAGGCAGAAAAGTTGGGCTCTGGTGCCTCTTCAACCTAACGAGTCTATGATTCTAAGTCTGTGGCTCAAAAGTACATGGAACTCCTGAGAGTAAAAGGGAACATGGGAGGAGAATCTGACCTGCCCCTCCTTCGGTGTTTTCCATTTACCACAGTGCCACCATCGACCCAGTCATCCAAGCTTGAACAGTGGGGAGTCACCCTACACTCCTTCTCCCACAGTGGTGACCAAGTCCTATAGCTCCTGCCTCTCTTATCCCTCCTCATTGCAACTCCTAAAAGGCAATGATGCTCTCAAGAGTTGTTGCCAAAAGTGCCACCATATTCTTTTTTTTTTTTTTTTTTTTTATTTATTTATTTGAGAGAGAGAGAATGAGAGAGAGCACATGAGAGGGGGGAGGGTCAGAGGGAGAAGCAGACTCCCTGCCGAGCAGGGAGCCCGATGCGGGACTCGATCCTGGGACTCCAGGATCATGACCTGAGCCGAAGGCAGTCGCTTAACCAACTGAGCCACCCAGGCGCCCGCCGCCATATTCTTTTAACCAGGCTCCCTGCCTGAAGCTTCACTCCACTCCCCTCAGCCCATCTATACAGCTGTTGATGGGTCAGTGTGTGTTTCAGGGTCCAAGAGAGAGAAATCAGATACAAGCTTAACAAAGTAAGTTCAACATAAAGAATTTTTAACTACAATAGGATTGGAGTAATGGAAGATTAGCTAGTAAGATGTAAAGAGAGATCTAAAGTATACAGGAATCGGGCGCCTGGGTGGCTCAGTCGTTGAGCGTCTGCCTTCGGCTCAGGTCATGATCCCAGGGTCCTGGGATCGAGTTCCACATCCGGCTCCCTCCTCGGGGGGAAGCCTGCTTCTCCCTCTCCCACTCCCACTGCTTGTGTTCCTGCTCTCGCTATCTCTGTCTCTGTCAAATAAATAAATAAAATCTTAAAAAAAAAATCTACAAAATAGAGTATACAGGAATCACTCATATAAGGAGCAACCACTACCCTGGAGACAGATCCCCCAAGAAGGAGCTGACTTCCCAAGAGCTTGTCAAAGAGGGCGTGGCCAGAGTTCGTGAGGTGTCAGGCAGGCAAAAATCCACAGTCTAGAATGCCAAGGAAGCCATTTATGAAAAGAATATGACCATGGGTGATTATTGCTCTCTGCCCAAACTTAGTGGCAGCACTCTGCTCCACAGCTTCCCCAGAGAGGGGCCGGGGAAGCTGGTGGCCCCTGGGTACCGCTGGCTGCCATGTACAACAGCAGTGAGACATGCAAGAGCTCACACGCTGCAGGAACCAGAGGCTGGAGGAGCTGTGCGCTACAGGACTGCCGCACTGCAGAAACCACATATGCTCCTGATGCCCAAAAAGTGGAGCATGTGGATCCCACAAGAGAAACCCTTTCCTCCTCCAGTATCCCTACCGACAGAGTTTGACGTGCCAACTGACAAAGGAGAAATATTTAAAGGACCTAATTCCATTTTTGCTGCGGAGGCAACGCAGGGTATATTTGGAGCTGAGAGGCGGTAAATTGATAACTGGCATATCAAGCTAACACCAAGTCTGATTTGTGACTCTTGTGCTTAAATCCTCAGTGACTCCCTATTGCCTTCAAGATAAAGTTCTCGGGCGCCTGGGTGGCTCAGTTGGTTAAGCGACTGCCTTATGCTCAGGTCATGATCCTGGAGTCCCGGGATCGAGTTCTGCATCGGGCTCCCTGCTCGGCGGGGAGTCTGCTTCTCCCTCTGACCCTCCCCCCTCTCATGCTCTCTCTATCTCATTCTCTCTCTCAAATAAATAAATAAATAAATAAATAAATAAATAAATAAATAAATAAATAAATAAATAAATAAATAAAAGATAAAGTTCTCAAGCCTTAGCACAGCATCCCAGGCCTTCAATATTCTGGACTTGGGCTATAGTCCCAGGCCGAGGCACAACTACTCCAGCTCCGCCCACCCTAACCCTCCATAATTACTCACAGTTCCCTGAATTCGCCACATTCTCTGATGCCTCCACACTTTCATCTAAGGAGTCGTGGCCACAAAAAAATTCCCTCCTTGTTCTCATCAGTAAACAGATGCTTAATGAGTGCCTGCTCTATACCTGGCACTATTCTGGGGCCTGAGAATACAGCAATGACACAAACCAGGCTTCCCCAAGTCTCTATTCAAATATCATCACTCTTCGGGAAGTATTTTCTGATGACTTTCTCCTACCTGCCAGTGTTAGATGTCTTATCTGGGAGATTCTGTTTTCCTCTATCTATGCAGACTTTTTAACACTTATCCTATTTTATTTTATTTTTTTAAAGGTTTTTATTTATTTATTTGAGAGAGAGAGAGAGAGAGCACAAGATGGGGGAGGGTCAGAAGGAGAAGCAGACTCCCCGCTGAGCGGGGAGCCCGATGTGGTACTCGATCCTGGGACTCCAGGATCATGACCTGAACCAAAGGCAGTCACTTAACCAACTGAGCCACCCAGGTGCCCAACACTTATCCTATTTTAATCGCTTGTTTTTCTATCAGTCTCTTCTTCTAGCCTAGGAGCTCTCTGAGGGCAGGGTGTATGACTCATTTATTTCCGTATCCCACTATTCAGCACTAGTCCTGATACATAAGGTTTTATTGGAGTAATTACTTGCTCAGGATCACATAATTAGTCAAAGATAGGCCTAGGGCCAGAATCCTGGTCTCCTATCTAATAGCCAAGAGTGCTTCTTCACTAGTATGGCTGTTATAGCTCATCTAGCTATGAAGGACAGTTTGTTGGAAGAGACAAGTGTAATGTTGAACATCATCAGAAATGGTAAAGGAAACAGGAAAAAAACATAGCCCTCTCCTTTTTTTTTTAAGATTTTATTTATTTATTTGAGATAGAGTGAGAGAGAGAGCACAAATAGAGGGAGCAGCAGAGGGAGAGGGAGAAGCAAGCCCTCCACTGAGCAGGGAGCCTGACTCAGGGCTCGATCCCAGGACCCCAGGATCATGACCTGAGCCAAAGGCAGACACTTAACAGACTGAGCCACGCAGCTGCCCTGATAGCTCTCTCTTATATTGAAAACTATGGTGCGTTCCCTCCAAGCCCTCACATATTGGAGTTTCTGAATCATAGGAATGCTATAATGAAATCAGAAGTAGGGAGGCCAAGTAAAAGGAGGAAAATGATGTGGGAGTATTCTGACATTTCACTCTGAAGAAATGAAGGCTAATCAACTAATGAAAGATTGTGTTAAGGTGGCCCCAGGTTTGTACACCAGATCCCCAAATTGGGGGACGTATTGCACAACTTTAGAGAGCACAGTTTATATGGCAGTCTGTAAATGTGTCACTGGGCTTGTGGACCATGATATGAACATGGGGGATTTAAAATATGAGCATGGCTAAGTTAAGATAAATCAAAAGGGATACCTGTTCACTTGTGAAATGATAAGTATGTGGAACTCATAACTTCCAAGAAGTGGTATTAGCATGATATATAAACAATTTTGATAAATTTG